AATAATAGAGGACTCTACCGGCCGTTAGACTCCAATTCAAATTTTCCAAACTGCATGTTGTTAAGATTTGGTCTACGGAACGTGCGTAGGTTGTGAGGAATAGGCCAGATGTTTCATTTACAAGTTTCCAATGGATATGGCTAAGCTTCTTCCCTCAATAGACAGCATTAGTAAATTGATGGATCCGTTGTATTATTAATGCACGATTAATGATCCTAATAATTACATAAGTAAAAACATGTTTTAAACCAAAAGGTGTCCTTTTTTCAAATAGAAAATTTAGAGAATGCGTAGGCTGCTACCAAAGTAGAAGCGTTTGGTCATATTTTCTTTAAAATATATTTGTATTTATAAGGACAGGGAAACTTGACGAGCGTACTGCGTACTAGATATTTGGTCATGTTGTACAGAATGTGTTGTTTTGCAGGAGGTCAGTAAGTGGGTAGAGCAAACGCCAGCATGCAGGCGTAACTGAATTAGCATGAACATAGGCTGCGCGATAATCAATATTACCACCCTGCGTAAGTTATTTCTTCGAAGCTAAAACGCATTTGGGAATTTTGATCGACATTTTATGAGGTAAGACATTTACCTTACTTAAATTATGGAACATACAAAAACGGGTGTCCGCAAGCACAAGAGAGAAGGAGTGTTGCTAAATTAGCAGGGCGTAATTGACGTGCAATTTGATATAGCAAAACTCAATGCATCCAGTTTCTTCCTCCATCTATAAAAGAGAAAGCCACCCGTACATATTTTACAAGCATTTGGAACATTTCTCATATCTGGGGTCTTAAACACAGAGTTTAGCGATTTGCACATTCATGCATTCCGAATGATACCGCCACGCATCAATCGTACTAACGCTTGCTTGCGTCTAAAGCTGATATGAGTTTATATTTAATCGTATTTGTAACGTATGCATCCAGCATGTGAAGGTTATTTGCACGGCAACTGCGACATAAAAGAGCTTGCGGCCCGTCTAAGTAATAAACACGTTAAGTGCAGATATTTCGGTTTGTACTCCTACGTTGTTTACATTCAAACGTTCGCCTATTGGTTCATCAGGAGGTTTGTTTGGACTTCGGAAGGCTAACTGATATTTTGCCGGCATTTTTAAACGGGCAGTTGGTTATGAAGCCGTTCTAACTACTAAGAAAAACAGCACATATAATAAGAATGATATTTCTGTAAAATCAAATTTGCAATTTTTACGCAATAGCGACTACCAGATTTTCCCTCGTGCAGCAGATTAATCAAGGGGAATATCAGCTGGTGCTGATCCAGTTGGAAGGCCAACAGATTTATTTAGCCTCTTTTTTATCGGAATGAGGAAATTTTCTCGATGCAAATGATAGAAGAATCGCGCTCCTCAATGCACTTTATAGGAAATATTTCAGCATGGTTTTCAGGAAAGAAGTTTAAACAAGACAAAGAACATAAGACCAACAGAATCGAATGACATCATGCAAAGTCATGAATTCTTGCTCAACGTCATACAGCCGTTGCACATTAATAAGGCAGAATAAACTGCCCAATTAACTGCCGACCTAGAAGGCTCATATTTGGTATGCAGTTAGAGTGGGGAGGGCAAAGAGGATAGGGGCATATATGACAGCAA